ATTGAAAGTCCACTGGATCCCTGGTGTTCATGAATGGATAGTAGCAACTTCTCCAATACTTACGGCAGGTCATGTAGACATCGAGTGCAAAAGAAAATCCTAAGCGAGTAGGAGCCCAAGTACCCAGTCTGCTTGCATAAGCAGCCTGTTGAGCGAGGAGAATTCACATTTCCCCCAAGTTCTGTCCTTCAACTACAGCAACATTGTTCTTATCTATAGCTATTACTCCTGCCGATTATTTTTATTAGTTACTCTCTTAGCAAGGCCTCTCTGGGGGTATTGTATTTGATGGGTAGGAGCATGGTGTTTGCTTACATAAGCTGCCAGGAAGCAGACTTACATTTCATCTAAGGGCCTGTTTACCTATAGACGGTCATCTAGCAACCAGAGACACTGCCTACCGTCAAAGAAAGTCAGTTTGATAAACGACCTTTAAGCTATATACTAGACAGTATCTTAGCTAAACATACAACAATTCTGTTTTCTTTACACACCTTCAACTGTGTCTATTTCTAAAAATTAAATTTGTAATAAATGGTCAATTAGACGGTGGCATCTCAACCATTTACTGAAGGGCAGCGCGAAAGTGTTTGACCAATTTTCCACGTTCCTGGATTCCTGTAGGTAGACTGTGAATAATTTACGTTGCATACTATAGGTGAACGCTATCTACTTTGCCGCACTCTCCCCCACTGTCAAGCCCCGCTTAACGGTCGATATCTGTTCAGGCTGTTTGATGGACGTCTATAGGTAAACTGGCCCTAAGTTCTGCACTTCATTTATCCCTTCCGTCGTAACAACCGGCTATTCATGCCATTTGGACTAACCATGGAAATGCCAAAAATGCGATAAAGCCTGGGATTTAATTAGTCACCACAATTGCTTTATGATTTTCATTCTTTTTCGTTACCTTTGAGGGTTGTGGGAAATGTTTTTTTTTTCCTCTTAATTTGAGGCGTTGGAGTTGTGGTTGTTGTGATAGTCCCGAATTTAGTCTACGATCGAAGGGATAGCCACATGATCCTTATGGCTATCACTTTTTTATAATATTCTATTATCTTTGTCCATCGACTACTGCCTTATCTGAGGATACTGGACATGGTACTAGTACTATCACCGAAGAGGGTAGGATGTTCAGGGGGCAACCACAGTTGCACTACATGAATTTACTGACTGTGTGGGTACAAAGCAGATTTTGTGATAACCCCGATGACTGGAATGCAGTAGGCTAGTGTGACATGTATTTTTTTACTGCCTAACAGCAGAGCGAGTCTTGCATTGTTGAGAAAAGGAATCTCCCAGCAAAATGTAGAAAAAGCCCAGTCGAGACAGTGAGCGGAATTATGTGTGGAATAGCTTGGTAGAGGATGAAGACCTTGATACCGGGTCATGTAACTCTGCCTGCATAAATTGTCACTCGCTTTCCTTTTTTTATATTTGCTAAGCTACCTCACTTTAGCCACATAGCATTACTGTGCCTCAGCATGATTTCCAGTATCGCCAGATAATGCGCTATTATATTTGACTAGTTTCTGCTCAAATTAAGGTAACTGCCCAATGACATAGTCAACCCTAGGGAGAACACATACGGTATTATGATTACACTCTTAGAGCAGGGTAACTGCCCACACAAACAGCCCTGAAGATTGCCGAAATACTACAGAGACCCTGCTGAGAAAGTAATAGATAGAAATAATGGGTAATAGTAATAGAATACTAAGAAGCTATAACTAGATAAGGATTATGTGGTTAGAGTTGAAATGTAAAATATGACAGGAATGTGAATTCTCCTACATACCTCACCTAGCTACTTAAGTAAGCACACTTGGTGCTTTAGCTCGTACTGGCATAGGACTTTTTTTTATTAGCATCCGATGTTTACATCACCCGCCGTAAATACTGCTCTCGTAAGGCTGATGGGGCAATCCTGTTAAGACTGTATTCGGGGGGAAAGTGTGAGGGGCAATTCTATTCTTTTATCACTGTTTGATGGTATCTTGTGGAATGAGATAGGAATAAAGGAAAATCCTAATGGTTAATTACTGTTCGAGATAATTTTTCCTTTGTGCCCTTGTGCCCTTTCCTCTTGCTTAAATTGCCCACCTTGTCCCATCTTTCTAAGCCAAAGAATTCACCCTACTAATGGGACATGATGTGAAAGTTGGCGAGCTGCTGTGTAATTATCTAGGAGTCTATCAGCGTGTCCTATCTCCTGGACTGCAAAAACCTGTGGGAAATGTTGTGCCCCTATCAGTGTCTAAGATACAGATGACTAAGGTGCCATGACAGTATTCTTCAGTGATGCTGTGAGTAGGTCCGGTCGTATAGCTAAAATTGGTCATAGTCTGAAGTTTGCATGTCTGCGAATTTATAACGTGCCCGGAGGGGGGAGAGCATGGAGGGGGCGCGAGTGCCAAGAGGGGCTAACCAATTATATTATTCAAGGTGGTTAAAAATGCCATGTACGAGTACTTTTCCGTTCATCATCCGAGAAGAAGTCCTCAAACAATTTGCCCAACTACCTTTCCCTGCCAAATGCAGCCACCATGATAACCAGAAACGTAACTACAATCACAACCACGACTTCAGAAATAGTTAATTAAATATTGGTGCCCCTGCCTCTCTTTAGAAGGGGGTAATCGGTCCTTTCATTTTGCCTGCTATGGATGTGGGTGGTTGTGCCAATCGTCGGGGCTATTGTTGTTAGCGGGTAGTTTAACTTCGGGGAGTGTTGTGATTGCGCTCGTTGTCTGAGGACTAGTTCTCGGTGCGAGTATTGTGATAAAAATAGTAAAAAGCAAACCACGCACCAAGTGAGTCAGATTACATGATTATGCAGTCTTTGATAAAGACTGGTCTGGGACTGGTCCAGACCAGACCGAAACCAACAGAATTAGTCAGGTCCAGTTATTGACATCAACTAGGACTGACCAGCCTAGTCCTGGTCGGACCATTCGGAACCCTGGTCTCAGAGATTGACAGGGGCAGCACAACATTCTCCACGATTTCAGCAGTCTAGGAGATAACACCGTGCTATTCTCAATTAGCTCTGCTGACTAATCCTTCACCGGGGCTTATGTCTAGCGACTGAGTTCCCAGTGCTGTTTCCACGATACTGCAGCTACAACTCCACAGGCTATCTATGAGTGCAGCCGCTTGATATATTAGTCAGGTGCCTGTTATGGGCACTCTGCAAAGAGAAGGCTCGCCAAAATTTTCCTATCAGACCCACATGACTAATATATGTATCAGTAGCACTTGTACTCCCGCGGCCGAGTTGAAGTTGGACACCTAAGGTGGAAATTCCCATAGAAAGTGTCCAACTTCAACTCGGCCGCGGGAGTATGTCAGGAAAGCTTGGTAGCGCGACAACCAAGTAAGACGTTCAACTTATTTTTAGCTGTCGTTATTAGACTGGTAGTATGGTACTGTTAGCATTCCTTGTCCGGCTTGAAGCGGTTCGCATCTACTCACAGCATTATAAGAAGCGTCTAATTCTCTCGGTGTAAATGTTCATCACACTCAACAGATACCAGTCTTCAAGGAACGGCAACATCCAACCAATATTCTCAACACTTCGCTTTCACTCGTGTTACTCGTATCAAGTAGACTTGACACATTCGTTCCTTTCACGAACTCCTTTCTCTCACTTCTCCCCTCATAATCCTTATAAGTGGTATTTCGACACTTCCCGATACAATGTGGACATACCTTCTGCCAACACTGCTCCTGCTTCAGATCATTGCGGTCCAGGCTCACCCCCGTATCTTCCCCGGCGTTAAGTTGGGGTCGGTTCTCTTGCAAGGGTATGACAAGGACGGTTGCCCGACAGAACCGAATTTTAGCGCAACTATCCCCAGTACCCTCTCAGGGTGTACTCCCATCACCTCCACTGGCATTACCAACGTGGTAGTCGTTGCAAACGATAAGCTGCCGTCGACCTGCAAACTTTTCCTCTTCGAAAACGACAACTGCGGGGGCACAGAAAGCGCAAACATTGGTCCGATCTTTCCCAGTTCGATTCCTAGTGCTTGTATTGGACCAATTCGGAATCCGGCGGGTAATGTTTTCGAGTTGAAAAGTATACATATGATATGCTGAATCTACGGGATCTCGAGGTGGCTTGTATTCTGGGGGTTGTGGCGGCAGCGTGGGGGGGGGGTGGGGGTGACCGTTTGCTCTTGGTTTTTTGTTTTTCCCTCGCACTTTTTTGACTCCCGCCACTCCCCTACTACCTTTTCTACATTATTTTGGCATTTTCATATTATGGTGGTCATTGTTAGGATTGGGTTTGGGGGGTTCATTACATCTGATTAGTTAGTGTATATAAAAAAACCATCACGCTCTTTAATTTTTGGCCCACTCTTGGGTCTCGCTGGTGAAGTTTAGAAAATCAGCTTCAACAGGAAGATCTATAGGAAGTAAGAAACGGTTGACAAGAACAGAACCTATTAATCCTGGAGATAATGGGCTTAATTGCGGAAGCAATGAGTCAGCATTAACTAGGCCTACTGCAGTAACTCTAAGAAGGATACAGTCCAATCCTCGGGCGATCATATATCGGAGAACGTGCCAGGCTCCGCCCCACTGGCTGATCTCCCGACAGCAGTCCCTCTTACAGTCAAGGGGGATTCACGCAACTCTATTGCGCAATCTACCTCTAGCCAATCTGCCCTAGGACTTCCTGCTCGAAAAGAGAATTCATCACAGCCATCCCGCAGCGAATCTACCAATCTTGACCCAAGCGCTATGCCGAGATCCACTCCGCCAGGTGCCGGACCAAAGCACCCGGGCAATCAGTCCCGCCTACAATTTAGTTGGCTACGGTAATTGTTATCTCTTGATTTGTCAAAGGATTCAGAGCTTAGAAACTCTTAGCCCACCTGCTTTCGAGTATCTATCCCAATTTGTTCTGTTAATCCTCTGAAGTCACTAGGTAGCTGACGAGCAGTAATTGCAACTTGTTCGGGCAAGGTTGATGTGCAGGTAAAAAAAAATATCTCTTAGGCGGGAAATTGAACCCCGGTCGTCCGCGCTCAGAGTCAATGACAGGCGAAAATACTAACCACTACACCAGCCCGACAAGCTCCAAGCCCCGATTAGTGATCCTATCTGCCCCCACCACCCGCCCAGTACCGTATTACGGGTATGATACTCCGGTGTGGGCTAGGGCGATCTCATAGGGTAGGGTAGTTTAGCAGTCGGGAGAGTGCTTGTGTGCCCATGAAAAACCCCGCGGTCTGGACCATAGACCAGACTGCCCCAATTGGGATCACTGACTACAATGATAGTAGGTTGAATGTTTCAGTGAACGATATGCTCATAGCTGAATTTTATACTATGCTGTTTACAAGAAAAAATATCACCTCTTGTAGTGATTGCCTCCTGAAGGATGAAGAAGGGAAAAGGACAAAAGGTGGGCTTTATACAGACCAACACAGTTCTGGGCAGGGTGAAAAGTGGAAAGGAGCAATTGCAACAGGTGTTTCCATAAAACACGAATTCGGCACCTACCACAAACAGAAGTTTCCTCCACGGACTAGAATCTGAGCCTATTGCCGTTTGGACAAAAGGTCCACATCACTAACCAGCATCAATAGCATCCGGCACACTATATGTCTCATCTGATTGTATACCACCTATCGCTGTATCCCGCCTACTGTCTCTACTACCCCTATTATCCGGACCTCCACTCGCACCCAGTATCTTGAAAGGCCAACCAAAGGCCATTGGTTGCATTATCTCCTCTCTGAGAACTAGTTGGAACTATTTGATCATCAGGTCCATCGCCTTTGGCTTAATATCAGTAGTATCTGGCACACATTGATTGTGCCAGTACTGCCTCCTACAGTCTTTCACGATAACAAAAAACATATGTATATTTTTGATAGTATTCAACAATGATTTGTAAAGGTTCTGCTACCCATGGAGTTTGATATCGTGGCTCCCAGTTATATTTTTTTGCAGTAGAATCAATGGGTTCAACACACTAAAAACAAGTATATCACCAGATCCAAAATTCATCACCAAAAGCATAATCTGAATTTTGTGCTCCACGGTGAGCCATGTTGTTGAGATTTACCTTTTGGCTAATTAAGAGCAATCTCAGTTAATCCTGAATCTTCCAATTGTCAGACCTACTGATTAGATATTAAACTTAAATTTAACATAATATGAGTTATTCTTATGAACAACTCCAATACATTTCACATTACATAGTTGTATATAATGAACACAAATTTCTCAAAGTTGGTATGTAAATAGTCAATGAGTTCTTAGTAAAAATTGCTCATATTTTAGAGAAAACAGAATTAATATTATCTTTTTAAGTTAAACTAACGGGATTTTTAATATTGTGATCCTAGGACTTACAATGAGCCAGAACGTAAAACTAAATAACATGAGGCATATAGTGTTCATTTTGATGAAGGGCGGGGCAGATTTTGCACAATGCAGGCCCCGCCATTATTCAGGCCCCAGGGGCATATTATCTGCCTTCTCTCTAGCCCCAACACATCTAGGGCCCAACTCTACCCATTCCCTGGATAGGCTCTGGTTTTTCACCACCCAAATTTTATAGGGGTCTGTCTGAGGGATGGGTTGGGTGGGATTGTAACTCCGGATGGCAGGGAGGAAAGGCGCAAATATGCCCTAGACCATGCAGGTAAGCGGACTGATGGGGGGAAATTGGCCAGGGACCCATATTTTTCAAGCCCCGAGAGGCCCTGTAATGAATGCTACAGGCACTGAGGGCATGCTGTTTTTTTCCTGATAACTTCCTGTTATAAGCGAGGAAATATGTTTCGATCAATTCTAGTTTGATACCATTGCTGTCCTGCTTGTGAACTATTGTACCTAGATTGTTGCTATTTGTGAAGCAATTGAGAGATCAAGACTATAATAGCATAAATTTGAGGAGCGGAGTGTGCTGGTCTTGGTTCGATGGGTTATCAGCCTCAAAAGATCAGCTATTTCATAACCAGTGATTTGCAAATACCTTGATAATAGAGCCAAACGCAGCTCAGAACTGACCTTGGCTGGCAAGCTAATTGGAGAGCTCGAAATATCTGAGTGGGAACTTCACCTATATATTCTCATAGGCCTTGAGGTCAATCCACCTTCTAGCGAATTGAGCATCATACAATAGTTCATTATCACTAGGTTTTCATAATTACCATTTGGTGCGAAGCATGTCACCTGATTTATGGGAATACGGCACACAATAGGGATGTGGCTCATCATGTCAACCACTAGAAAACTAAATATATAATTAATTATTTACATTAATAGTGGTAATATGCAATTGAAATATTATTAGAATGTACTTTTAAATATGGAGAATCAGAATATTTAGTTTTTATTTCATAATAAACAATGGATTTCTTTCTATAGTGTTTTTGATAATTGCAGTTTCTAATAGAACAAGTTTTTTTACAAGCTGTATAAATATTCAAATATATAAAAGAGAACTTGAATAACCTAATAGGGTAATCACGAACCATCTCCTCTACACCTCCGGTGATTGAAATCTCAACACCATGAGAAATCATCGTCAACATCCTCCACCCAGACTCTCAGTGAGATGCACACTGGCATCCCCCCCCTCACTTGCTTTGTTTCTTCACTTAGCTTTTGCACGGTCGGCAACCCCTCTTCATACCTGAGTGTCAATATTTATCTTCGGGGAATCTGTGAAGTAGTGGCACTTATGGCCTTGCTTGCGGGTATATTACTCTCTCATCAAGGCTTCTATCATTAGAGTCGCATTGGGAAAAATCATGACCCCCTGGTGGTACTCGGCTCCCACGTCACTGTCCTGGGTCTACCCCTCCTATCCACCGCTTGTTCTTCATCCTGTAGCTTGGTTACAGCCAAATATCCACTACCTTTTAATGGCTCATTCTTTTGCCGAGGCACCTTATACAGCTGGCATACTTACTAGTACTGCCTATAGTACTACCCATCCCCGGTGATGGGCTCAGTCACACCCCTTCGTTATGCTCGGTCATAGTATTGCACTATCTCCTTAGAAGATGTCAACTCCATGGGTTACGGAGTAATGTGCTGGGTTTGCCTGGTTTTGGCGGATCTTTGGTGCAGATTTTGATTTGATTTGTGTTAGCCGCTTCGGGCTTCCTGGTTGTTTTGCTTTGTTGTTAGCTAGGTTTTATGATCGGGTTTCTGTTAGAGCACTTTTGCGAAATGAAAGGAGTTTCTTTCGTTACTTTGTTTTAAAAGGGGAGGAGTTTTTTGGGGCTGGTTTTTCTGTTGTTTCCTGCTTACTGTGTTTGGTGAATTTGTCTTGTCATCTGCTTAGCGGGCAGTGGGTTTCTGTCTTCGCAGTAGGATTGTGCAGTTGGTTCCATAACAGAGGGACTTGGCATGATGGTTTTTTCCGGTGGTCCAAGGAGGATTTCATTCCAAAGATGGTTTTTCTTTACCATAGCTTACCACTGCATGTAGTCTTTATATACAAGATAGTTGAAATCGAAGCATATGATACACAAAAAACAGAAAAAACCATAATAGGGTAATTATTTGGGTCTTATTTGTCAACAATGATGGGTTTTTACAGTAATTTATTGATTTCTTGTCATTATATAGTCTGTAGTATAGTTGAGAAAAACTATATATAAAATATATTATTTTGACTGAATAATATCTGCTTAGGGGGTTAAGATATGAATTCAGTACTTTATAATCTACTTTCTTAAGTTAATATAAGTAAGTTCTCTTCCTTTGAAGTATCATAGATATGTCTTTTCATTTTAATCCTTCTTCACTTGAAATTTCAATGAAAACTGCCTGTTTTTCTATGTCAAGTTTGAAATTTTAAATTCAACAGCACAAGCTGCCTAAAACTTGTTTTAATAGCTTTAACTATATGAGTAAATCACAGGATAGTGCTTTTAGGCTTACATACAATATGTAGCCTAGATGGTTGAGGCTAGAAAGAACAATTTCCCTGAGAAATAGGTTATATAAATAAGGATATAGAATTTGCAAGACATGACCAATTGAATTGAAAGTTTATATTAGATAAGAGATGACTAAATTAGACTATTCTAGAAAGTATTGGAATATTATATAAATCCTATGGGTAGATATAATCTAATTCCTTTTTTAAGATATATATTGGTCTTTATTTATTTGTATCATCTCCACCACTCTTAAATACTCTACCAATATCTACCCCACAGTTAGCATATTAAAATGAAGACCAATAGACTATTATTATTTGCTCAGGCTATTATATTTGTATTGATTTTGACTTTTCTTCAGCTATTCTCCTAGATAAGCTAATATCTGAACCAATTTTGTATAAAGTAACCATATAGGAAGAACCATTTGATATTATCAAATAAAACCTACAGATTTAGATTCTCTATGTTTAAAAGTCCTTTCTAGCAAATTTTATGTATTGTAATACTACTATTGGTGTAGATAATTAAAAATACTTTTGGTTGTTCGGTGGTTGTCATCGAGAGCCATATCCCTGTCGTCAACCGCATCCCCATAAATCAGGTTAGATGTACATTATTTTCTACCTTTAGGAAACACTCATGTTCAATGAATATATTCATTTCGTGATCCATATCTCAAATATAGGCTTTCCAGCGTTTGTTATAGGCACTGTTATTGTTTACTGAAATGGTCTGAAAGCAGGTCCTGGCAATGGGGCCCAGACTTGTGAAGGTTGTGAAGGGAATTGTGATTTGGTATGGAGTAAGGAGCTTGGACCCTGATTGACTAGTACAAGACTGATTGGTCAGCTGATATCATCCTTAGAAGGAAGAAGGAGCTGGCACCTGAAAGTGGCTATAATGTCATCTGATCCCTAATTGCTCATGTAGAACCACTCAGTATACTAATCCTTTTTCCACATATCCGAATCTTTTATCCTGCTGGGCTAGGTAGCTAGTACTACTAACAAACTGTATTTCTTCTTAGATCATCTTGGATCCTCAAGTACGTACTCAGTAACAATCCAAACCCCAAGCTAGAGAACATCTGCGAGGTGCAATACATAATTGGCATCCATCTTGCTGCCTACCAGAATTGCTATCAAACAAATAGCAATAAT